TGAACCCGCCACCCTCAGTATATGGGGCCAGTGCCCTACCCACTGAGCCATAGGCACCGCCCTCTAATTATTTCTAAAATGACTTTTTTAACTTTTCCTTATAGTGCTTGTGGGTTCATAATGTGAGTTTGTGAGACCATATTATCATGGTAAAATCAGCTACCTTGGCAAATAACAGATACTTGAAGAGGAGGGTGAATGTCTAGGCTGTAGACATGGTCTACATGTCCTCCCTGGTCTAGGCAGGAAAGTGTTACATCACTGCCTGAAGACCATCTGCTATTTCATTTTGGGTTCAACCACTCACATGCCCTCCACCTAGAAGACCCTACCTATGAATTAACCATGTAATATCTCTATACCAGGCGTTATTCCTTTCTAGAGAGTAACCACATCTTTCAAAACCGTTGTCCAGTCCCTTGAGGAGCAAGGGGAAGAAGGTTAAAGGGAACGTTCAAGGACCATGCAAAAGTCAGTTCCAGCTAAATACCCCAGGGCTCATCTGGTCAACCTAGGATTTGCTGTTCATGCTAGTTAGATCACTTACATTCATTGTACTGTTCTCTATAGGCCCCACCTTTCAGTGCAGGTAGCTGAGGCAGCTTTGATTTGAACCTCCTTCAACATGAAGAAGTCTAGTTTTGCCATGTTCTACTAAAATGACTAGAGCAAGTCTGTCCCACGTTTCTCAAAAATGTCCAGAGAAATCATACGTGTTTAGAGGATGCAAGTATACAATCTTGCAAATGAAGATGAGAAACATCTCATTTTTTAATTTTTTATCTTTTAATCTACATGCAGAAAAGTTACCACAACAGGCCTACAACTACTATCCTTAGAAAAGCTTGTTTACCAGACTGGCCCTGGGCTGGCATCTGAGAAACTGAGTGATAAACAGTTCCCTACAATGACAGAAACCGTTCCCTACACGATGAGTAGTTCACTGTATCTAAACTGTTTGTACAAACAGTGTGGTTTACACTGAACATCTGCTTTCCTTCTGAGAATCTCGAATTTCAGTGAGTACAGTTTGTCACAAAGGCGCTAGGTGGCTACATGATCAGCCTCGATAAAAACCCTGGACTTCTAGGCTCAGATGAGATTTCCTGGTACAACACTGTGGGAACTAAGTGTGTCCTGTGCACCTCCCTCAGAACAGGACTCACATGCTTGTGCCTGGTTTTCTCCAGACAGCACCTTGTGTGCCTTTTCCCTTTGCCTACTTTGATTTGTATCCTTTTGCTGTGTTAAATTATATCCATGAGTACAACTATATGCTGAGTCCTGTGAACCCTCCCACCAGACCACTACATTTGAAAGTTAGAGATACGTGATACACTCTACCAATAAGTTAAAATTTGAATACATATCAGCACATCTGCCTGCGCAATGTTGCCTCATCTCTTTAGGATGCCAAAGAACATACAACTCACATAAATCAGAGGTATACCACAAAGTAAACTTGCCCACCAAAATAACTTACCCTAATAGATTATATGAATTAAAAGGTTAATGAATTAATCTGTGAGCACAGCAAAATCCATGCTTTCTTCCACAACAACAAAAAGGACTCAAAGCTTGTTACTAATATAAAAACACAAACTGAATATGCTAAAGAGTGTTCTAAAATATTTTAATGGCAATAGTATGCCAAAGAGGCAAATATGCAATTACCAGTGAGTAAAACTAAGATTACTTAAAGCAATCATTTTTCACTCTATTGATAAAAACCACCCAGAGGGAAGTGAATCTTTACTCTTCCTCCAGAACCTAAATCATTCTAAGAACTCACCTCCTACACACGAGTGTTGTCTGATATTTAATCTCCAGATCTCTTCAGAGAAATCTGTCAGTGCAGCAGACACAACCTTAAAAGAAAGCTCAAAAGCCTTCTCTCTGAAAAAAATAAAACCTCTCTGAAGTTATAGATATTCTCTAAAGGTATATGAATGAGGAATAAATTAAACTCAATGGTTTCATGAACTTCCAAAGAAAGAGATCACAGAAAATTTGTCTGTTCTTGAATGATGATAAAACAATAAATCTCAAGAATAACAACTTATACTCTAATTAAAAAATTAGGTGAAGAAGTTATGCATCATGTTGCCTGTTCTACACATTAGTGTTAATGTGTTGGATGATATATACAGTAAATTTAAAAATGAATTATTGCACAGAAAATTTAAGAGAAATATAATTAAATGTGTTTTAAATTTAAATTGTTCATTTGGACAGCTGTTTTGCAATTCAAGCAACGTAAGTTACATATGGAAGTTTTTCTGCCGTCACTTTCCTTCATACAATGCCTCTTCCTTTCCCCCAATATTTTCTTCCTAAAACAAAGTTTGAGGCCTAAAATTGAATGTGACCAGGTCTTTCTCATAGTAAATCCCCAGTATCAGATCAATTCCTGGCACAGCAGGCACTCAATACATTTTCATTATTATTGTTACAAGGGGAAAAGTGGTGGTAGGAAAAGGTCCTGCATAACCTGGACATGGAAACCTAATCCATTTTTCCTGGTGTCTCTGCCCTTGTTTCCATCAGGGCATTCAAACCATGTCTACCCCAGGATAAGAGTTAATCTACATGTATACTGTGGTTACTGACTCTCTGATGTTCTACTTGCTGCCTGCCTATCTAGGCCTACAGCACTCACCTTCCTCATGTCTTAAATGGATTACCTCCAGAACTTGACATCTATATGACTTGGACATAAATTAGGATCATTCTGGACCCACTGGCCATTCATTATAGAAGCAGACATTACAGAAAGAAGAAATGAAATAATCCTGTCCTATCAGTAAGATCCCACCCCTGTTCTATCTTCCTTCTATTCTTGTTAGCTAAATATGACAGAGACTAACTATGGCATTTAGGTCAGACGAATTTAAACAAGAAAACTTGGGTCTAAGGATGGTGTGTAAAGTATGTAACACCCGAAGGTCTTGTTAATTTTGCGGTGTGAGTCCTGTGCTACCACCTCAGCTGTTAAATTAAAAGGCACTTTTTCTCAGGATAGCCATAAACACTTCCTAAATGGTACTGGGAATAACCCACATAATTAATTATCTGGCGAGAGCATTCCAGGAAGAAGTGGAAAAACTCAGATGCAGGTGTGTTTATGAGTTGTTTGAAAAACATCAAGGATGCCAGAATGGCAGAATGGATTGAGAATAAATGAGCAGGAGAATGACAGTAGATGAAGTCAGACAAGCAAGAGTAGGGAAAGTAGAAAGAAATTCAGGTTGGCTGTTATAGGTGAGTGCAAGGACTTTCCAACTTTTGAGTGAGACAGGCAGCTTTTGGAAGTTTTAGCTTATATTTTAACAGGATTGTGGTTGCTGCTCCCTTCAGAATATACTTAAAAAGGCAAAGGGCAAAGGTGGGTGACCTGTTTGGAAGGTATTGCAATAATCTAAATAGGAGATAATGATGGTTTGGACCAGGGTAGTAGCAATGATGTGCTAAGAAATGTCAAATTTAGGGTATGTTTTGAAGATAAAAACAGAAGGACTGTTAATAGATTAAATGTGGGGCATAAGAGAAAGGAGCCAAGAATTGTTCCCAAGAGTTTGATGCATCATCTTTGATCTTCTTCCTCCACTAGATATTAGGGAAGAGTCTGATCATGTCTCCAGGGAAAACATAGGGTATTACTGACTCCAAACCATCTTTCTGAATTCTTATATGTCTTTATACAAGATGATTTGTCAAGTGGTCTCCCTAGTCATATTTATTTCCATTGGATCATTTATGAAACCCCCCCCAACCTTTGCATGACAAGACAATTGATGTTGCAAAACGTTATAGTACAATAATTCTAAAATGATTGGTTTCATCAAATGAAATTCAAACTGATTTAGAATTCAGCACCATGATGATGTCTCTCAATCCCTCAACAACTCCAAAACCTCTCTAAAAATTGCCAAAGGTCTTTTATGCTCTGGTTTATTTCTGAACCTGAAACCCCAATGTTTGGAAATGAAAATATGAAAACACTTTCCAAACATATCACACACACAGTAATATACGTATCCCAAATTTCTTCAGTACACAGTAAAATGTTTTATTGTGGGGAAGTGAGACTCGGAAATGAAGGGTAGCTTCAAAGCCTAATGCGAAAATCAATCACGTATTAGCCTGCCAGAAGCAGGTCAGGCTGCTGTATTGGCTACCCTGAAGTTATTGGTTCTGACATTAATACTTAAGAATTTCCTTGTTTAGTTACTGGACAACCTGGGGAACAGCTGAGGCGGCTGTGAGTTAGCCTTCCTCTGCTGATTGATGCTGCTGTTTTAGAAGACCTATCATTTTTTACACAGGAATATTGTTCAGTTATGTATTTCACCATGCGGCACCTCTATTTCCCATTCCAACACTGGTCAGTTCAAATGGCTTTGAGAAGAAACTTTTGAAATAAGAAGTCGTTATGACACTTTTATGTAACTGTTCTGTAAATCCTACGCAACGCTGTTTTTGTTAAGAAATAGCTAAAGTTTAATGACATTTCCTGCAGTTACAGAAAAGGCTGAAACACAAACAGCTCCTCCCCTGAAAACGAGCTGCTATTTCAACCATATTTCTTGTCAGTCCTTTTCTTTTTTGCAAAAGTGCTATGCCCAGTGATGTGCACGTATGACAAACGTCAAGACAACCAGAAACTGTGAAAATAAAACGGCGGGGAATCCACCGAAGCTTTACACATTTACTCCTTCAATCGAGACTCAAGAGCTACATAACCAGGTGGGATTGTCACCTTCAACAGCGAGGTACAAAGGCACAGTGGCTACGGGCAAGTTGTTAAAAGCCACACTCCTCGTGGGGGCGGGACACAGTTATGAGAGGGACTTTACCTAACAAATGCAATCAGTGTAACCAAGTTCTTTGTACCCTCAACGAATCCCCAACAGTAGGAAAAAAACAAAACAAAACAAAACACTGCCCGCCTCCGCCCGCCTCCGGCACGCAGGACTCCAGCAGCCGCAGGCCCGGCAGGTTCCAGCGGAGCTTGCGGAGACTACAGCTCCCAGCAGGCGGCGCGGCAGGGGCTCACGCACGCGCAGCCCAGACCCTGGGAACCGGGACCTGCGGCGGCCTTCTGGGGAAGGAGGATGGCTGCGGCGGGGCTGCGGCTCTCCTTACTGAGGCTCTCTGAGATGCCGGCGGCGCTCGGGCGCCAGAGCCGACTTTACAGCACGTCGCACGCCTTTGCTGAGGTGCTACAGCTGCCGAAGGTGCAGCAGACGAAGTTGCTGTATCCGCTGCAGGAACTCGAGCGGCACCTCGCCCCAGATGCGAGGTCCGACCTTCACCTGAGAGTCTTCGACCCCAGCCCGGAGGACTTGGCGCGGGCCGATGAGGTGTTCACCGCCACCGCCCGGAACCGCATCGATTACGTCAGCTCGGCCGTTCGTCTCGACCACGCCCCGGACATCCCCTGGCCCGAGGTGAGCGCTGCCCCGCGCTCGCTTCTCCGGCGAGCGGGGAGTGCTGCAGGGCGATTTGCGTCTCCCGTCGGCGGGTCCTCACCCAGGCTGGCGCGGGGATTTTGCTGTCACTTATTTCTTGTCACCCAGCGAGATTTTCTAGCTTTATGTGGACGCATATATTATTTTGACAAAATAACCATGTACGGACGCTCCTCGACTTAACGGCGGGTGGAGGAGCCGGCAGACGGCACAAACCAAAATGCCATAAGTCGAAAGTGCCGTCGGTGCTCCTCCCCATCGTAAAGTCGGACGGCATTAAGGTGACCCATCGTAAGTCAGAGATTGTATATAGTTTAAATTTCCAAAAGGTTTTAAAACCCAAACTATGTGTTCAAAAAATTAACTCTTTTTAAAATTATTTTCCTATTTGAGCGAAGTAGGGAAAACCTGCTAAGACCAATTACACGGAATTTAGACAGTGAAGATTAAGAAACGTGTAATAGTGTCACAAATGAGATGATACTTGTCAATATGTGATTTGTGCCCAATCTCAATTTCCTATGCAAAGTAGTAATTATATGTAGAAGGCAAAAATGGAAGGTTTTTGAAAAACCACTTTTATTAGTGAAATTTCATGAACCAGCATTTTATGAATGTCCTACAGTATAATATTTTGTTCTAAGTCTGCTAAAAGGCAGCTTAAATCCCCATACATATTTAAAGTAACTGCACCATTGCCCTAGAATTTTTCTTCTAAATATATGTAGAACTGTAGTTAGAACTGAGGAAGTACGTAATTAATAATTTTGATATAGCGTTGTGTTTCCATTTACACTTTTAAATTACTGGACTTTTTAATAGTTCACGTGTTTAAATTAAGCTTTGTCTACATATTAACATTGTATTTGATCTGGCAGAGCATTTAAGTTTATTCAGGATTCAGATCAATTCATTTTGAAAAGATTGGTTCAGGTTTTGCAGAAAATATATATATAGCATTCCTGGCCCATGCCCACTAAATGCCCTTCAATTGTGTTGATAGCCAAAAATGTCCTTACAAATTTCCAAAATGTCCCCAGAGAGGACATGAGTACTGCCCTCATTTAAAACAAGTAGTTGATATTGTCCCCTTCAATACCATGTTCAAAAGCAGGGGAGTGTGTATTAATGATAATCATCTTTTTGGTGAGAGGTGGGTAGATGATGAGAAATTACTTAATGGGTACCATGTACATTGTTTGGGTGATAGATACACTAAAAGCCCAGATTTCACCACTATGCAGTATATCCATGTAAAAAATAAATGCTCAATGCCTAAAACAGAACCTGGCACGTTGAAATCATTCAGTAAAATATTAGCTGTATGTTAGAATTTGAGGTTTAACTAAATATAAGCCACTTATTACACGGTTTGGCAAGACTGAATAGTTAAAGAGTTTTTCAGCTAAGACAATCTTTTTTTTTTTTTTTTGCAGTTTTGGCTGGGGCTGGGTTTGAACCCACCACCCCCAGTATATGGGGCAGTCACCCTACTCCTTGAGCCACGGGCGCCCCCCGTAAGACAGTCTAATTTTTATGTGTGTGTGTATATATATTAACTAGTACTTAATTATCTTTTCTTATAAAAGGTGTGTTTTATAGGCAGAAGCAATGTTGGAAAATCCTCCCTAATAAAGGCTTTATTTTCACTGGCGCCTGAGGTTGAAGTCAGAGTCTCCAAAAAACCGGTATGCTGAAATTTTCAAATACATCTAGACTGTTCATCTTATTGAATAGTAAATGTTAGAAAGTATAAGAAATCATAATTGCTAGGTTCCTAGAGAAGGGATTTCTCTCAAACATGTCTCTCCTTTCATAGCTTTGTTTCTATTTTATTAATGCCTGTGTATTTCTCTGAAGAAAAGGAGCTGTGGCTGGATTTATTTGAGTAGTCTTGGCAATATCTTGAGGAAATTTTCCTTTGTCCAAATGACCCCAAAAGTTGCCAAATAAAGTATTGTCATTCTGTATTTCCTTTTGTAAGAGTGATCATCTACTTCTACGCTGATTTTAGGAGAAACAACTAATTTTTTTGCTCTTTTCTTCCTCTAATCTTTTATAAATCTCGTAAGGTATACAGTATATAAATTACTTTTTACACACACCTACATACATACACACATACGTATATGTGTATATACACATACACACAAACATGTACACCAGTCAGACATGTTTACCTAGGACCAAATTATGTGCTTGTCATCCCTGCTAGTCTGCTATACTTGCTTTGTCATTTTTTGATTCTACGTCCTTCTCAGTGTTGGAGCTTTACCAATATGTAAGACACTTTTTCCTCAAAACTCACTCCCCCTTATCTATCCCTGGCAAAACCTTTCTACCAACCCTTATACTCACTACTACCCTCAAGTTGGAACCTTTCTATGAAATGTCAATAATCTTTTCTTGCTCCCTGCTTCTTGATCTATTTGATTCTCTGGTTCTATCACTCTTCTTTCCATTCTTTAACCCTCCCATCCTTACTTCTGCCTTGCCTCACCAATAAACACTTCTAAGTAGAGAGGTCCTCTTCCTGTTATAAAAGGGCAGTGGAAAAAAAAATAACATCCCCAATCTATGATTCTAAAATCATTTCCTATAGATAGACAAATAAGCTGACTGGAAACTTAATCACCATTTATAAAAATCTTCTCTCTGATATTTGTTCTAAGATCCAAACAGTTGATTAACTTCTTAAATTGCCTATCTTAAGATGTTAGAGGTGCTGAGTGATTCTATGTTGTAAGCAGCTTAGAGAGGATGAGGGGAGAAAGAATAAAATGAGCTGAATTTGGGACACCTGGGAATTGAGACTGGGAGAAATGAAATCAGGAAACAGCTGCTATGTGAACACATTGTTGACTGTCCATGTTACCAGGTAACTCATGACTGGTCATCAATGTGTTAATCTTTCCTTTTCTGATTAGTAAATGTCACAATACTATGAATAAACCTCTTTTCATCATCTTTATATCAATTTTAGTTGTATAAATATTTTATAATTATAGTGTTGTATCTGCTTTAAAAATTTTAATGAAAGTACAATAACCAACCTAAAAAAAATGCAAAAATTCTTGATTTTAAGGAAGCAATAGTCTGGGTATAAGAAATTATCAGGTTTTGAATCTAAATTTTATGAAAACCGATATAATGGATTGTAAGCATTTTAATCTATCAGTGCCATACTTCATTTCTCTTTAAAGTGAAGACATATTGTTTATCAGAGAGTATTGACTAAGGTAGGCAATTTAGAACAGGATGTTTTTCACCAAGAGTTAATAAAATAGGAAAGACCCCAAAATATTTTACCTATATATTTCTAACATGGGATCTAACAGTCTTAAGACATATATATTTTATTTTAAAAAGAGAATTGTTTCATTGATAACAAAAATAATAAAAAAGAGAATTGGAGGGAAAAAGTAGTATGGTCTAAGCTTTTCTCCATCTACCTCCCTTCTGTCTTTACCTGTGTCATCATCAGCATGGTTAGGAACATATATACTTAGGCTTTTAATAAATATTTACTGATTATATAGAAAACACTGTGAATCATTAAATATATGAAGGACATATTTTAAGACAGCTTTTATTTTTTCATTTACTTTACCAGGGACACACAAAGAAAATGAATTTTTTTAGAGTTGGAAAACATTTTACATTGGTGGACATGCCAGGTTATGGCTACAGATCACCTGAAGATTTTGTTGAAATGGTAGAGACCTATCTAAAAGAACGAAAAAAGTAAGGAAACTTTTTTCTTACAGTAGTTACACATTTAACCTCAAAGCATGTTTTCATCAGTCCAGTATTCTCCACATGATGAACACTTGGGTTTTTTACCAAGTGACTTAGAAGGTCCATTTTATCCTCATATTCTACAATGTAATATTCATGGCCAAGGTATGTACTGCTCACTTGTCTTCTGCCTTTAGGTTAGCTTAATCTTAATTTCAGGTGTTTTCCTATATTGAAATTGAACAAAGAGTACTTCAGTTAGTACATTAATTTTTTTTAATCACTCTTAACTGGCTAATTTTAAAAATGAAAATTGTTGGTTAATGTGGTATTTGCCAGATTTTAATAAAGTAAATGCTGATCATTCTTAAAATATCTCAGATATCACATCTTCCGAAAATGTTATTTTTTGTTTTGTCTCTATATATAGTCAAGTAACAATTCGGTTTTAAGAACTGCACAATATACAGAAAAATGCTAATCTTTTGAAGCATAAGAAAAAAGTTGTTGTAGCTTTAGTTAATTGGATTTGTGTCTCTTTCTTCCACTAGAGTTTTAAGTGGAAAGAGCTGACTGACTCATTTTGTATCAAGTCCAGGAAGCGTCTTATGTTCAATGTATACTTATTGAAATAAGTTAATATTTAGCAAATTTAGCTAAGGAAAGTAAACAGCATTGAGACCTATTAGACTATAAGATGAACTTCCTGGTGAATTGAAAATTTCCATTGCCTAAAGAAATGTGTAAATCTTAAATTGTCTCAGTCATTCAAAGGAAATTTTCTTCATATAGTTGGGAGTAGGGGATAATGAATGGGGATATCTTATATTCCATTAATCTTCATTTCTACCTTCTTGTAGTTTGAAAAGAACATTTTTATTAGTGGATAGTGTTGTTGGAATTCAAAACAACGACAATATTGCCATAGAAATGTGTGAAGAATTTGCATTGCCATATGTGGTAAGTGTTTCCTTTGGATCATGGTTGTGATTAGAAATAGCAGTTCTGTGTGCATCATCACGTCCACATGCCTATTATTTTAACAATAAGCTCTTCAAAAGATAAAGGAGAGTAACCTTTGAAAACACTTATCAGATGTTACTCAGCCATTAATATTAAAATAAGTTCTGTGGCACGTTTATTCTGTTTTCCTTCTCTTAGCTTTAAGTTCTTAAAGTTATAGTCAATATAAAAGTTTTTTAAGCTGTTCATTTAATGTTCCTATATGCTTTTTCGTTTTTTTCTTTTTATGACAATATAAACATTTGTCCAAAACAAGTTAGTAGGACTTTAACAGCAGGTTGGCAGATAGTACTTAACAGAATGGGAATGAAAGTGCAACTGAAAAATTTGCTTAACTATTTAGAATTGAAAATTGTTCCAAGAATTTAGCAGCTCTAGCACTCAAGTAGAACTGTCACATTCTTTTTTATTTTATTTTTTTTTTTTGAGATAGTCTCACTATATAGGAGCCTGCCTTGGCATCATAGCTCACAGCAACCTCAAACTCTTGGGCTCAAGCTATTCTCTTGCCTTAGCCTCCTAAGTAACAGGTGCCCACCACAACAGCCACAACATCTGGCTAGAACTGTTACATTCTTAAAGAAAACAATTTCTTTTAGAAATATCTTACCAATATTCTTTCTGTCTTTTGACCTAGAATAGAATACATTTTAGTAGATTGGAATCCACGTTAATTTTGCTTTGTGGGACTTCCATATAAAATAGCACTCTTAAAATTGATTTTCCAAAGAAAAGTGAAGAACCCAAGTACAATTTAGTTTCAAAAAAATGTCCGAAACCACTAATTTTAACAGTGAAGTTTAATGCAGATCAAACTGGTCAGCCACTTTCATTCTATTCTTGGGGTTTGCAAGTCCTGTGAAGGATTAATATAATTTACAGTCATGAGAAGTCAAAGCATTAATAGTATACCTAGAAAAAATGACTAAATATTACCAAACTAAGTAATAGAATTCCTAATTTGATATCATAGATGCCAGTTTATACAATCATCTTTTCCTCAGTTTTAATTGAAAGGAAATACTTTCTTCTTTGAAAAAGGAAATTTAATAGAGAAATTATATCTGTATTTCCCTTTAAATATCAGCACATTTGCCTTTATGAGAAAGAATTGCCATTAGAAAGCATTGCCTGGGTAGAATCACAGGTCATTAGAAACCACACATTTTCTGCTTCTCACCCTTTCTGCCATTAGCATCTTTTGTGACTAAAAAGCATAAATGATTTTTCAGGAAATTTAATTTTATCGAAATTCTGTAGGAAAATCTAATAGATTTGTAAACATCTGTGTCTTGACCTTACTCCACTATGTAGTTGATCTTTGGACAAGTAAAATTCTTGACTTACTTGAAATATAATATAGAAGATATAACCTACAAAGAACCTGATTTCTGATTTTTCCGTTAGTGTAGTAAAGATAAGGCTGAGCCATTTTGTAGGTTAAAAAATGATTACACATTGGCAGTTTTATATATCCTAAACCACAAGATACGTTGTGATCATATGAAACATTTAACTTAAGAGGCTGAGGTAAGAGGACCACTTGAGCTCATAAGTTTGAAGTTTCTATGACCTTTGATGCCATGGCACTCAACTGAGGGCAACAAAGTGAGAAAAAAAAGAATCAATGAAACATTTAACTTATCACAATTACAAATATGATTACATGGTCCTTTTTATTGATCTTAAATCCAAAATACTATGGCTCTGTATAGTTAAAGCATTATTAAATAGCAAATATTTAGTGTATACTTTACATGAAGTCTGACAGTTAAGTTTATGAACTCATCTAAGAAAAAGTCCTATGTACCTCATTGCTGAATATCACTATGGTCACTTTTGAAGTACTCCCCTTAGGAAGCTATGCGCCCATGCCAGCACCTAGTCCACACCTTCAGAGCAATTTGGAACTCTTTTTTTCTGGAATAGCCATCAGAGCTTTTGTCTTAAGAGTTGTGGCAATTAAGTTCCAGAACTTGCCACCATGTACTTATGTTGGCAGCACTGTTCAAACAACCTGGTAAGATTTCATAACCTTGGTTTATCAGTGTCTCACAGCTATGTTCATGTTGACATGTGATCATGTCTTAATGAGTGGTGTGACTGCTGTGTGTTTTTGTGCACCATATGACAACAGCTCTGATAGTAATTGCAGAAAAGAAAGATTCCAAAATTGCTTTGTAGACTAGGCGTTAGCATCGGTGCATAGCATTTCTTTTTTTTTTTTTTTTTTTTTGAGATGGAGCCTCAAGCTATCCCCCTGGGTAGAGTGCCATGGCATCACGATCACAGCAACCTCCAACTCTTGGGCTCAAGCGAGTCTCCTGCCTCAGCCTCCCAAGTAGCTGGGACTACAGGCGCCCACCACAGTGCCTGACCATTTTTTGGTTGCAGCCATCATTGTTGTTTGACAGGCCCGGGCTGGGGATTCGAACCCGCCATCTTAGGTGTATGTGGCTGGCGCCTTAGCCGCTTGAGCCACAGGCGCCGAGCCGGTGAATAGCATTTCAAGGGGAGTACTTCAAAGGTGACCGTGGTGATATTCAGCAATGAGGTAAGAAGCACTTTTTCTAGGCCAAGTTCGTGAACTTGATTCAGGCCTCGTATGTTGCACATATTAACTCATTTATTCTTTATAGCCACTCCTTTGTAAGGTATTGTTTTTATTTTATACTTGAGGAAATAGAAACAAAAAGATTAAAAAATTTGTACAGGTCACCTAGTTTAACAAAAAGTTGTAGCTAAAATGTATAAAACTATATTAAGAACTACTTTATTTTTAATAGTTAAAAAGTTATTTTTTTATAGATGGTATTAACAAAAATTGACAGATCTTCCAAGGGACATCTTTTAAAACAAGTGCTTCAGATACAGAAATTTGTTAACACACAAACACAAGGATGTTTTCCTCAATTGTTTCCTGTAAGGTAAGAGTCGAATTTTTATAACTTTGTATACTAAAAACTTGTAATATTAAATCACTATTTCTTAAATTGAGGTGTCACTTAAAATTAGAGACTTTTTGGAACACTTTGCATTTAGTTGTGGTTCATTGGTATGGTCCGTTAGTACTTTTATATTTTTCCCCTTTATTCTTTCTTCCTTCTGCTGTTTCTTAAGGGCAGCTTAAGAAACTTCATTCTCTGCCTCAGCCTAGCTCAGCTCTATACAAAAGCAGAAGTGAAAACTTTACTTTTTAAATTAGCTAAAAGGCCACAGTAAAAATGCTGCCATTTATGTGTGTGTGTGTGTATGTGTTTGTCTGTTTCTCCCTGAGACAGAATCTTCCTCTGTTGCCCTGGGTAGAGTACAGTGGCATCATCTTAGCTCACAGCAAACTCAAACTCCTGGGCTCAAGCAATCCTCTTGCCTCACCCTCCCAAGTAGCTGGGACTACAGGCACCTAATTAATTATTCTTCCCTCCCTCACCTGGCTAATTTTTTTCTGTTTCTAGTAGAGATGGGATCCAGCTCTTGCTCAGGCTGGTTTCAAACTCCTAACCTCAAGTAATCCACCTGCCTCAGCCTCCCAGAGTGCTAGGATTACAAGTGTGAGCCACCATGCCTGGCCCTCTTTTTTAGATTCAAAGAAAAATACCTTATCTGTATGATAGAAAGCTCATTCAGGCTTTAAGGAATAAAAATTTTCCTGTAAAAGGACCTTATAAAAAGAAAACATGTTTCATATACATAAGTTGGAATTAAATATTGCTGGAAGACAGAATGATTATTTTCTGAGCTGGTAATTTTTGAGACCTTATGATGTAGTTTAGTGACAAAGCATGGGTTTGTACTTTCACTGTATACCTTGGGTACAGTAAGTAATGTGTATGATGGGAGAGATACAGTGCTACTCTGAATTTCTTCCTCTGACTTCTTTTTGGAAGGCTTTATGCTAATTTTATGAAAAGATAATAAAATCAAGTAGTGCTTTATTATATATGAAACTATCCCCTAAGCCATCATTTTAAATCCTACCAGTCTCTGGTAGATTTAAATTGTAATTGTGAACATGCTTCACACAAAATGCTTTTCTCCCTTGACTTACATTCAGGTATTTATTATGTTCATTGTCTTTGTCCCACATATACAATGGGAACTTCTAGGGATGGGAGTAAAACCCTAATTCTTCTTAGAGCCCTGAGCATTGTCATATAAAAACAACTATTTCTTTTAACTGTTTAATGACAAGTGAGACTTCAGCTAAAAAGACAATAAGAACATGAGATGGGCAGATCATGGTTTAACAGTAGCATTTGTCAAAAAAGATTTAAGCTTTAGTTGACTATAAGCTGAGTTTCAATTGACAGTGTAATGTGGTTGGGGAGCGGGGGGAATTACAGTGTTTTCTTGGGCTACATTAATAGAATAATGGTGTTCAAAAAAGGGACTAGTCTCACACTAGAATGGTCATTCTAGTCAGATTGCGGCTCAACATTAACAACGAGAGCTACTTAATGGTTTGGGGAGAGGGTCTGTCACTAGATCCTTCAGAAAAACTAATCCTCACAGTAGCATCCCTAAGGTTACAAGTCAGAGAAATTGAGTTGCGGAGAGGTATTTGCTGAAATACAAAAAGCCTGGGTGGACCTTAGGGTCAGATAGCCATGGGATTTTCTAGTTTCTGGCTACTGAATTTAAAACAACTTCATTTTCTTTGAATCTGTTTTCTTACTGGTAAAAATGTGATCATTAGAAGGATTAAATAAAACGTATCGTGACTGATACACACATTAGGCCCGTAATAATGGTAGTTTCCTTCCCTGCCAAAGGTCAACAACTCAGTAAAAGGCAAGGTTAGGCCTGTGACCCAGATTATCAGGCTTCTCGTACTTTTTAGAGACATTTTCTTCTTTACATAGGACAGTATTCTCTTTATATGACCCTGGAGTCACTGCCAGTAGCATACTCACTTTAAGTGACAAAGGCACTGCAGAAAGCCACATAGCATTTACAGTCCAATAATTGAGACATGGGGGTGATGCCTACTAGCAGCCCTCAAGACCATCAGTGTTCACCGTACCAAGGTGACCCTATATAGGATGTTGGCAGGCTGCATCCTTAGCTCTCAAACTCAGGCCAGAAAGCAGAATTACATACTACACTTCTTGCTTTTACTTGCATGACCAAGCTCCAGCCCATCCCTCCAGAAGGGAATTTAGCCTATTCACAAAATTTATAATAATAAAGTAAGTCAGGTTTTATTTCCTCCTCTTCCTTTCTGCTCTTGGTGGGAGAAAAGTATAGTGTTGGGTAGACATGTAGTCCCATGAGGTTTGGCCTTTAAGTTTATATGCCAAAATTAAGTGCTAATTTTCATGTACAATCTCTGCCCCAGAAGGGTAGAAAAGTATAAAGATCAGTCTATTTTTATAAACAATACTGAAGAAATACTTATGTAAGCACAATATAATTGCTTCTAAGATTTTCTATGAAATGAAATTCCAAGCAGGTAAGAATACTAAGGACAGAGAAAATTACAAGCTGACAAAAATGTTGCAAATGAGTTCAAGGTGCCATAGTATATGTAGTATGTGAACTGTCCAACTTTTATCTCTCCTTTAAATTTTGATCAAGGTATAGAATGTGACACTTCATCAAGGGAATTAGTAATATAGCAGGAAGGGGTTTTTTTGTAGAGACAGAGTCTCACTTTATTGCCTTCTGTAGAATGCTGTGGCATCACACAGTTCACAGCAACTTCCAACTCATGGGCTTAGGCGATTCTCTTGCCTCAGCCTCCTGAGTAGCTGAGACTATAGGTGCCCACCACAACACCTAGCTATTTCTTTGTTGCAGTTTGGCTGGGGCCAGGTTTGAACCCTCCACCTTTGGTATATGGGGCCGGCACCCTGCCTACTAAGTCACTGGTGCCGCCATATAGCAGGAAGTATTTTAACTGTTTATAAATCCATAGACTTATGTATGTACAGGGTGGATATAAAGTTCATGTGCAATTTAAAATAGTTTAACATATAAACTAGTAAATTGCCCACGAACTTTATAGCCACCCTGTATATCCATGCCAGAGAAACCAGTGGCTGTCTTCATGTTGACAGATGGATAGATGGCTGATATTGGAAGAAAGAGAAGCAATAAAATATAATAATGGTGATAGTAGTTCTTTTTTTAAACCTGAAAAGTCTATACTATCAAGGTAATTAATTTCTTTTCACAGAAAAAACTAAAGAGCTTAAAACTTATTCTGGAAAACAAAGCAAAATTTGTAGAATCTTAAAGGAAATGTGATCATCAGGTAATATGAATCATCAGATTTTAGAATCCTGTAAGAAAAGGCTAGAGGAAGAGAGGAAAAGTAGAACAGGTTAAAAGATGTTCTACTTCAGGGCGGCGCCTGTGGCTCAAAGGAGTAGGGTGCCAGCCCCATATACCAGAGCCCCGGGCAAAAAAAAAAAAGAGGGAGAGAGAAAGAGAGATGTTCTACTTCATACATGTAATCACAAGAATTTGTTAAGTAATTTTTTTAAAGAAACTTATTTTTCTTTTCTTTCCACAGTGCTGTGACCTATTCTGGAATCCATCTATTGAGATGCTTTATAGCAAATATAACAGGAAATCTTAGATAGTAGCTCCCAGTGTAGCCAAAGACATAGAAAACTTCTTTATGCCAACTGGAGTTAAACCTAGAATTTCAACATTGTTTTAAGTGTTGTGATCACTGCAGATTTAATTAAACCTGCGCCTTCCCGATGTAAGAATGAATTTTGCCTGGAGAAAATAAAGTTTATGAATAACCGAAAATGCTGTTCACTAAGACAGATACTAGTTGATGTTCTTATTTTAACAAGTTGACAACCAAGAACAGACAGAAGTCCATAAAATGAAAACCTATTACTAACTACTATGTAGAGAAGCATTTGCTGTGTTATTTATTGGGCTTTTATCTTTTAAGAAAATGGACTAAGTAAAAGGGGCAGCTTTTCTGTTAAGCATTGATGATGCTTTTCTGTTAAGCATTGATAGGCAAGATGAAGGATAAATGCCTATAGTTAATATTTTTCTTTAAGTTCTTATTTGAGTATCTTCTTGTTAAAATTTGTCAATCCAGGTTGGAAACACCCAAAAGACCAGAATTCAAGTTCCAGTTCTGATGTTTTCTATGTTCTGAATTGTGGGAACATTACTTGAACTATCTAAATGTCATTTGTAACTGTAACCTTGCAAGCTATTAAAATTATATAAAGTGGTGTCACATGAGATAATATGGTAATAGACAACTATTCAAAATTGCACACGAACTTTATGGCCACCCTGTATGTGTGACAGCTGCATAGCTGTAAAGCCACACCAACCAAATATAGCAAGATTCACAGCTAGATTTATCACAGGAAAGAAACACACTGTCATGGGGGAAATATTTTCTCCAGTAAAAAGCAAAAAAACAAAAACTAGCTTTAAGTGGGAAAACTAATTTGCAAAAGGCAAGAGAATAAAGTCAGAGATAGTTTAGACTTGGCACATTTAAGATTCAGAATAGAAAGATAAAGGTAACTGAAGTTAACAAAAAAAATTTATGAAGATGCCACTGACCTATTTATAAAAATGGCTTAGTTTTTCAAAATGAGGCTGAACATTAAAAGGTTATAGGGATAGTGCTAGATATAAAATTAAACTATAAACCGTCTTTGTGGGGGTTTTTTTAGAAAATTCGATTCTGAATATATTGTCAGTTGTTTTATACTTGGTAGAATTAGTCTATTCTAACCAGCAGTGTTTTAAGCTGAAAAAAGATTTATTTAATATAGGCATTCACAAAGTAAAATATATAGTGGCAAAATCTGTCTGCCAGTGTTACTTTACTGCTTGTCTTAGCTTTGATTCTCCTAAAAGCAGAGCTCAAGACAAAAGTTTCTTCTACATTAGTTTGCTTGGGAAGTGATCCCCTAGAATAGGAGTGGTGAAGTGACAGAAAAGGAAGGAAAGCCTATGAATGAAGTATTTACTGAGTTGGCCAAGACACAGGCAGTAGTGCTTAGTATTGACAGAACTTCTGAGAAGTCTTATGTGATGTGCCTCTGAACACCCCACACCTAGAATAGGTACAGCATGCCAAGTGCCAGGCAGTTCATGGGTGAGTAGGAGCCTACAGCCATTCATGACATGGTCCTCAGAAAAGGAGGATATAAGCCCTACCCCACTCAAAACTGGTTAGCACACCAGTGATTTGAAGCAACAAATAAGAGGTTTGAGACACTACACTTTATCAGTAACCTGAGTGCCTGAATGCCGCTGAAAGTGATAAAATTGGTATTCACTATGAAGGCCCTGACAATAGTTTCTAATATAATTTATTAGTTGAGTTATGGTTTGGTGTATTTTAGGTTCTATGTTTAAAAATTGAAATCATCTGAATTTAAGTTACTTGGAAAAATGAACTGATATGGACTATTACATTCCTTATTAATACTTAAATATTATTTAGTGGACACATGTGAAGCTTTTTACTGTTTTCCCAGAATTGTAAGGGGCAGGAGACAGGTAAAAGAGATGAAGATACTTAACAAAGGAACCCTGAGATAAAGTAAAAAAGTCTAATCCAGGCTTTGTGATTTGACCTAATTACCTCCCCCAGCCACTCTGGTTTTTATAATGAGGTATACTCTCCACAGTTTCTTGCAACTATAAAAGTTTATGGTTCATGAACAAAAGTGTCTCTTCAGATGCAAAAACCTAAGCCCAGGGAAATGAGCTCAGTGGAGTCATGTGCAAATAGAAGTCCATTCTTGCTTCTGCTTCTAACTCCCAGGGACTTTTTTTTTTTTTTTTAATAAACTGAGTTAGAAATTGGAGTTGACAGGATAGAGGGATAGAGGCTACTTGGGATTGGGTCTATGAATATGAACAAGCCCTATGATTCAAGTTATACCACACCAGTTCTCTTAATAATTTACCTTCATTTCTGAGTGTGTCAAGAAAATACTTTGAGCAAAAGGCCACTTAGAAGTTGATGGCCATTTCTAGGCTTGTAAGGACTAAAATATCTTTGGTATTAACCATATTTTAAGGAACTAAGTAGCTATTCCCACTAGGTAGGAAGTCATAAGGAATATGAAAAGTGACTAGAGATTAAGAACTTTTGAATTAAACCAGAATATGTAACAAGGGTTTCCTAAGAGGAGCTAAACTAGTGTTTATATGATTTGGGGCCACTTGCATCAAAATCACCTGGGATCCTTGTTAAAAATGCAGACTTCTGGCCCATGTTTAAAGTCTCTGGGAAGGGATAGAGAAACTGCATTTTTCAACAGCCCAACTGAATCTTAAAAAGTCTAATGTTTGAGAGTTATCTACACCTCCTCCCAACGTAGGTAACTGGGAGGATGCAGAAAACAGGAAAAGGACAAAGGAAATACAGAAAATGATGGGATGACCAAGGAAAAGGATGCAGTACGTAGTAAGGTTCTGTTTCCTTTTTCTGTAAGTCTGTGTTTAACAACATAAAGCTTACAGAAGCTTACTGACCTAATTCCAGTAAAGTTAGGACATCTGAAAGTTGATACCTCAAACTTCACATCATCATTTGAAAATATACAAGATTTACCCCCTCAGGGCAATCGTGTGGAGCAATGTCCAAATATCATACTGTAACATCAGCACCCAATTATGTATCTATGTATTTGCCCTATTCCTGGGTCTATTTTATGTCTCCTAACCTTATTTTTTCATTTTACTTTCTCACCTACCTCTTTGTTATCCTATTGTATTTAATATGTAACCACAGACCACCTTACATCCTTTTTGGAAAAAAGTATGTTTGGAATCAATGACTGGCACCTCAACAGACAAAAAATTAAAACCTTTTGGAGAACTCCAAAACCATTTTAATATGTCCTGTGAGATAAAGTGAACAAATGGAAGAGAAATAACAGTTGTGAACAGTCCTTGTTAATGCAATTAATGGCAAAACTTTTGAGTCCCTCTGATGATCAATTCTAAAGACAGCACAACCAACAGAAGCTACAAACACTGGTATTCAGAAGTGAACATCTACAATGGATCCAGTAAGGCCCAGAAGACCTTTCAGGTGCTTTGTGCTATTCCCCACTCCCATCCCTCATTACTTTAAGGCACAACAGTTTTTGCAAACTCCATTATTCAGGTCTTAATTCCCTGGTAAATCATAAAAGTATTCAATTCTTCAGGTACGTCTGCTTCTTAAGGGCAGGCTGTGGCAGATTTTTCATTTTAATGCCAGGCACCCTCTTGAAGCCAAAAAATACTTGATTGAAGTATTAGCTAGTATATTTACTGAACTGAAATGAACTTCTACAAATGAGCTTCTGGCAAAGTAAATGCAATGAAGCTCTAAAGCCGCTCCTCTCTGAGTTCTAGATCTTAGTAGTCCTACTTAAAACAGCAGAACACTGAACTAGTTTAATCAATTAAAACTCACACATGAACACCTAAACGCCCATTAAAGCAAAAATATCATCAATGTCATCTGTCTCCTTAATGGTTCCTGATGTGTTATATTTGTTTGCTTGCACCATTGTCTGTGAATCAGTTTCATCTTCATTGTGTCCTGTAAGATTTTCATGAATCTGTTTCTCCTTAGTTTGTATGACAGGACTTGAAACACTGTTACTTGGGAGTTGCTTACTGTTAGGGTAGAGATCAGTTCTATGAACTGTACAGTTTGAGTGTTTCCACTTAGCACTGGAAACTGTAGCACTCTTCAGAGTCCCTTGAGGGAACTGCTGAATTTCCTTTAAAAGAGTCGACTGCAACTTTCTCTGTGGTTTCCTTCGTCTCAGTAAAAATTTATTCTGTGATCTCTGTCTCAGATGATGCTTTGAAGTTTTGATAGCTGAGCCACGGAGAAGGTGGTTGCAAATAGATGTTTTTATGCACTCTAGTTTCTTTGGCAAACTTTAAAAGAACAGAAAGGAAAAATCTGAGCTCTTTAAGATGAAGAAAAGCATTCTCAAGCACTTTTACCAACTTCTAACAGAGAAGTAACAGTTTATCTCCAAGCCCTACACCTGCATACAATTGCAGAATCATATTGAAAATAAATAAATCTCTACTTTCATAGCATAGTTTCCCTCTGATTGAGGTTAGGCAAATGTGCCCCCATTTTGCACTCAAAGTAAAGTAACTCCTACAACTGCCTCGCTAAGCTGAATGGTGAGTTATCTCCATACTATAGTGCCAGAGCTTTTTTCTCCTATGTGCTAATAAGCTGTCCATAATGTAACAGGAGGGAAATGCGGACACATGACAAATGGAAACTCTCTGTATTGTGGCAGGAAATGAACAAGGAGAAGGGAATAAAAGTGAAGGGGGGATTATAAAAGAATGAAAAGATAGAGTTTCTGGCATAGATAAAGTGACAACCTTGAGCTAGCTACCTTAATTGTGATTCATACCATGTCATCAAGTTTGGAAATCCAGAATTCAAACAACTGGTCATTTTAGATGTTTTGCTTCTGAATATGATACACTGCCACAAGGTTCATCAGTGCCTTACTCAATTGCCTATTTCTGATAGTCAGATTTCAAGACTGGTACAACTCTGTACTCCTTATCCTACCTACTCCCTCCTCTTCCTTTTTAAATAGATAATTCGTTATCATGAAGTAACTGATCTATTTCTACACCATTTTCTCATGTCAACGGAATGAATGAAAACAGGAATCAGAAGACTGTATGGAGTTCTAGCATCCAGTTCTAACAGCCTGAGCAAAATTCTCCATTTCCTCATCTATAAATGGGGATAATACTGCCTACATCCAGTACTGTTAACTTTAAGTTTCAAAGTGGACTATGATACAAATATATTAATGAAAAAGCAAAACAGAGCAATGTGAAAATACACTGTATTTAGGAAAGTACAGAAAAATGGCTTAACCAGTTACCCTCTAATTAAACCATCATGTCATCTCTGCCTCATCTACCCCTGACTTTAAACCCACTTTTAAACAGAACACCTCTCTCTATTTCAGGCTGTTTACACCTACAGAATAGGGTACTTTTAGATAGCTACAGGCCTTTAAATGACCTCACTATAAAAAAAACCCTCAAGCAATCCATCCCTTTGAAAAATATTCAAGAACTTTTCCTATGGCCTTTAAAAAATTAAAACTTGTTACAAAATCTTCACTGTATACCAAGATTTTCTTCTAAAACAATATTTTTCCATAAATTTTAAAAGAAAGTTTAACAAATGTTTGACAGGTAAAGTGGTACATCCATAGGAACCATTATAAAACCTTGAACAGATCTATTATGCAACTAGAAATAAAAAATTATACTACATTGCACAGGATGTTTCCTGAAGAATACATAAAAATTAATAGGTACAGGCCCAGTGTGGTGGCTCATGCCTGTAATCCTAGCACTCTGGGAGGTCAAGGTGGGCGGTCTGCTTGAGCTCAGGAGTTCAAGACTAGCCTAAGCAAGAGTGAGACCCTGTGTCTACTTATAACAGAAAAATTAGGTGTAGTTGGGGGCACCTGTTGTCCCAGCTACTCTGGAGGCTGAAGCAAGAGGATTACTCAAGCCCAAGAGTTTGCGTTTGCTATAAGCTATGATGCCATGGCACTCTACCCAGGGCAAAAGACTGAGACTGTCTGAAAAAAAAAAAAGTTTAACAGTAAAGGCCTCTGTGAAGATAGAATAAGGAACCATCTGTTTGGAACTGTTACCTTCAGCATCTGTTATTTTTTCAATAAAAATATAAAGCCCCAAAATGTCTTAATGTCTCATTCCATGTAATGCTTCATGTAACACTGGCTTATATGCAAAGATAATCATCCTTAAACGGTTCTATGAGTGTTGAGAGTCACAGGAATACAAGGTCAAACCATGGAGAGTCCAGCTACTATGAATAGTATACCTAACCCTGACGCTGGCAGTGTGGTGTGGGCCTTATAGAAGGTTCCTCTTAAACCCTCATTCCACTGTACTGAAGTGTAAGCTCCCCGTGGACTAAGTCTTCTTATGCAGTTGTATCCAAGACTTTGCACACCAAAGACTTCATTGCCCAGACTGGATTTGAACTCTAGGCTTTGGTGATCCTCCTAGGTAGCTAGGACTACTGTCATGCACCACCACATCTGCCACCACAGACATTCATTCTTAACCCTTTCTGAATGGACAAGTGGGAATGATGAAGAGTATAAATGAGTAAGTCCAATTAATCTAAGTTTGTTTTCTTCCTCCCAACCATGCAGCTTTGCCCTTGTAACAAAAGCAGCAAATGAAGTTGTAGCTTGAATAGATCTCACTTTTAGCCCCTCTAGGGCTGCTAGATATCCCATTTTAAAGAAAAGTGACCTGAGTATATACACTTTTGCTCTAAATGACAACAGAAAATGTAAAGGAATATAATTTTTGTAATATACTTACCTATTACCTTGAGCTTCTACATGTTTAAGTCGGTTACTTTTAAGAAGTTTATTCCCCAAAAATGTGGCCTGAGCCTTTAGTTTTTTCCTCCTGCACCAAATAAGTGCCATTTGGATTTCTTCAGAAAGTTGTACGAAAGACTCAGCCTCTCGGAATCTTTGCACAAAACTTTTGACACAAGGAGTTCCTATCACTTTCTGAGAAGAATGTTTGGTTGTCTTTAGTTTGGACTGAGAACATTTAAACTCAAAATTGGCCTCCTGAAATGTGAAAAAATAAAAACAAAAATATTGAATGTGTTACTTACAAATGTATGACAACAAGGAAAGCTGGCTCACACTCAAAAGGTTTTTTTGCACAGAGCTTTGCTTTTGTCTTTAAAAGGCTTAAATTTTTAATCCACTGCCCTATCACAAGTTTTTTTTATCCCTTTTGTGCTAAAAAAAGATCCCAATTGCAGGTGTGTAAGATTGACCCCAGACACAAACAAGGTATTCCAACAGACTTATCTAACAAACAAGAATAAAATTCCACCTGATTAAATATTAGTGAAAGCCTATGAGGGGGGAAAAAGTCACACTTTTTTCCTCTAAACCACCACAACTTGTTTTTCACTTATTTCCATACCCTGAGCAAACCTCCTCAATGATGAGTCATAAATATTACAGGTAGGACATGGGGCCTCATACAGCACCGTGCAGTAGGCCTATTAATCAGTTAATGATTGCTGAACACGTGAAAAATGCTCAGCTGAGCAACATTCCCAATTCTCCTCCAACTATCACCTGACAAGGCATCTTTATTTCTTCAACTCTATCAAGTTTGAATTTTCCTAACTTTCAATTTTTCCTTATGAAAATATGCTATCTTCCAGGTCTGCTTCTGTCTTATCTTCTTCCAAATTTATCACACTCAAAAGGAACTTAAAAAGAAATCCTAACAGTAGCGGCCCATCAATGGTTTATGTCCAGTGATCAATAAAAAGTAGTTTGCTTCTAGGGCATTTAGCATTAGTGCTGATTGCTAAAAACATGGTAGTAATTAACCTTGAATTAGAAGGACGCTCACCAATCAGCTTCAATACCAGCTTCAAAACCACCTCACAAACAAGTGGAAAGGCTGCAGAAATTTCAAGGAGCACAGAGTGCCATAGTTCTCCTTGAGACACAGTTGAAAAAAATATTTCGGGGACAAGTGTAACAGTCAAGAACAGAGAGTATGAAACCAAACTGCCTTCATTCAAATTCCAGCTCTGCCACTTATCACTGTGTGGTTTGGGCCTCTCTATGCCTCAGTTTCCTCATCTGAAATATGAAAACAGTAATAAGGGCACCTACCTCAGAGCTTTTGTGATAATCACATGAGTTAGTTCATATAAAGCATTTATTTTAAAATAATGCCTGGCATAGGAAGTATTAGCTACTACCATTATTCCTCCCTCTGAACTCATTCTATCACTACATGCTATAATCCTTATAAAAATTCAAGAAAGTACTACAAATGATTGAGAATTCCTAAACAAAATAGAATAAAAGTATTTTGCAAAGACATAAGATAACAAAAAAGTTACAGAGTGAAATGGTGACACTGACATCCTTATCTGTTGTTAGGACCAAAACAAACAATTTACAAAGTTTAAGTCATGTTAAAGCTTGAACCTCAACAAGAATAAAGGAATAGAACACCCTCACAACAAATGATGATGATGATGCAAAAATGATGACGGTAACTAATAATGTCTAACAATTAAATGCTTACCATACTCCAGACTCTGCTGAACACATGATATGCATTAAAACTGGCACAATCCCATGAGGTACATACTTTTATTACAAAGTAGAGATATGCAGAGGTCAGGAAACTGACAGAGGGTCACACAGTACCAACCAAAGTCAGGATTCAAATCATCTGCATACTCTAAGCTTCAGCTGAATCCATACTTACAAGATGGATTTTACAGTCACTGTAAGATTGTAGAGAAACTCCTACTGAAACATTTCTGAAGGCATTCTATTAAGTAAATTAACAATGTATTAAAAATTCCTCTCCCCCTTCATTTAGAAGCACACACTGGGAACTAAAAGGGCAATGAGCTTAAAACTGAGAATAAAAAGAGAAAATTTCCTGCCCTTGGTAAGTAGCAGTCTCTACAAATTAGCAGAAATCATAAGCTATATTGAATTCATCAAGACAAACCTGAGTAACTTTGTTTTTCAGGTGTTTGCAGTAAGTCTTCACATCAAATTCTGATGACCTGTCTGTGGACATGTAAAAATCATAGACAAAAAAACTTAGGCATACTATTTTCAAATCTTTAAATCATTAAGCACGTGACATTTCTTGCCAATTTAGTACCAACTGGAGTGAAGCAAGCACAGAACAATGAAACTACTATACAAACAAACAACTTTTTAAGTGCTCAATCTTAGAAAATATGGGTATTACTATACCTGTCTCAAAATAATCAACATGGGTTAAAATTAAGGGAGATATTGAATTTCTTTCTACATAGCACATGATTATATCATATTTTCAACAGACTTTTTTAAGAGTATCAAAGCAAATTACCTTTGAAGACTTTCCTATTCTTTACAGGCTGTCCAAGATCAATATTATTCTGTATGTTGATCTTCGTATGTTTAGCTTTTTTTGCAATGCCAAGTAAGGTTTCTTCACTGAACCTTGGTGATTGCTCATTTGTTAAAAATAATTTATTTAACAATTTAGTCACTCCTTTAGCTGCAAAAGCTGTAGGCAATTTTTCCTTAAAGACTTCAAAATAGGACTGTCCTAGAAATTCAGCAATATCAGAAGGAAAGATAAAATCTTTGAAGTACGGCATTGGTTGAATCCTAGAGACTTCTTGAAGCAATCCAAACAAGGGCTCATATAAAGAAATCAATCTTTTTAAAACACCTTTATAGAGAACCCTAGAGAAAGCAACAGGAGCTCATGAATTAGCCAGTAATTACAATTTGCAGATTACATAATAAACTACAAGATTCAAAGGTGAAAATAAATGGCTATCAAGTTCTGCCACTATGGATAAATACTATAGCTCATATACTTAGAAACAGCTGGATTAATCCAGCCCAAACAGAAAAGTCCAAATATAAAATTTACTCAAAAACAAAGTACTATATGGAGAGATATGTCAAAGGATGCACATCAAAATCTTAAATGTGCTTTCATCAAGATCAGTCGTCCTCAAACTACGACCCGCAGGCCACATGCAGCCCATCTAGGACATTTATCCAGCCCGCTGGGTGTTTCTGCCACCGCTGCCTGTCCTGCTTAGCAACCGACTCGTCCCAGGCCTGCAGTCCGGCCCTCCAATGGTCTGAGGGACACTGAACTGGCCTCCTGTTTAAAAAGTTTGAGGACTCCTGATCTAGATGGAGAGATTTCAGGCATTTCAGATTCTTCACATCTTTCTATTTTTCTTAATTCTTGAAATAAGCATGTTGTCATTGGCAAAAATTAAAGCTATTTTCATGTTACTTCTAAAAATAAACAGAATAAAAAGCAAGATGATCAGAAATAGTATTCAAGATATCCAGGTTATGCTGTCAAAGCAAGGTTTCCAATCTCCAAAGGCAGAAAACTTTTCTACATTTTTGCTGTTTGTTTTGTTTCCTTACATCCAAATTACAGCTAATGATCCTAATTATTTGAAATGGCCCACAAAAGGTCTCCTTCTTTAAAATATGGGCAGATTTTGAGTCTAATTATCCTAATTATCCATCATATCAGTTTCCCATTATACAGTGACACAAAACATCAACTAAATATGCCCCCGAAAAGCAGTGTGGTATTTCAGGTGGAAAGAAGAGTTAAAAGTACATAGGGAATGTCCAAAATTATTTTTCTCATTGCCATTTAAAATTAGAAACCAAGTGGCAAAAAGAAAGTGACATAGCTGGCCTAGAAATACCATCATTTAAATGACTCATTCTAATATGACTACTGCCATCAATATTTTATTATCCAGTTCCTAATACTAGGAATAAATTTGTTTTTAGTTGTTCAGCGTTGAGTTCATAGATTTAGGTATGAATCCTTTGACATAACTATTAGCATTCAACTTCCAAATTTACTGCAAATAAACTCTGATCAAATGAAGAAACAGAACTCTCATACCTTTAGCAACCCATAGGAAAACAAATATAAAAACTAGTACTAAGGAACCTAGGCTAAGGTAGAGAGAGAAAAAGAAATGAAGGATATCAAAGGTATGTACATACCGCAACCTGCTCACCAGCCCAATCATCACAAGGTTTAAAATAATAAACTCCTGCAAACCTAGATGTTTCACAGTCAAGCTGGAAAGTCAATTTAAGGTGGGAAAACAAAACCAAAGTAAGATGTGTAAGTTACAATTATGAAGGAAGAAATATATTGGAAGTAAAGTGATTCTCTTGAAGGGATGAAAGCCTTAAAATCAGTTCCATTTAAGAAATAAAAATTTTAAAATATGGTAATATATACTCTGTTAGTGTTCCCATTATTAATTTTAGTTTCTAAGGTTTCGTTTCTAAGATTAAGAATTTCTATAATAGCTGTCAATGCTAGACAGAGAAAGGCAGTCTCTGGCATAATGACCCCATCAGGTAATTCCTAACAAAAGCTATCCAAGAAGCACAATTTTAAGGATTCCCACAGGTTATAACTACTAGAAAGGCCTAGATTTCAAAGAAAAATACTGTTAAATCTAGCCAGACAATTCCAACTCAAAAGAAAGTGTTTCAGTAGATCCAAGGATACAGAAATGCCTTGCAGCAGCAGTCTAACAAGCGGAGTAACAACTTGCAGGCCCCCAAAATCTTCATCAGCACAAACTCCACCACTGGCTGGCTGGGGATGACACACACTTTGGTAGCTACAGGCTGGTTTTCACTTGACAAAAACAGAAAAGCAGATTACTTTCATTTTAAACACAAAGCATAACTAAAGTGGTTTTCAAGTAAAGACTTGCTTTCAGCTCAATCTGAAGTAATTAAACTTAATAACAACTGACTGATGTTTCAATGTAACCTATAATGATGCAGATTTCAGTATCACATAGGCCAACAGAGGGAAAATTATTACCATATCAAGTACCCCTTACAATAATAAAATTTGTACAGCTGAAATATAATTGGTTATATTCCAACACTACACACAGAAAAGTCCAAAGGAAGATAGATCATAAGAAGACATTAAGTTCTCAGCCTATCACATCACAAAGCAAATGGCCCACTTACTTAGAAGAAAACAACTCAGACAAGTCTTGAATGGAATCCTCCAAATTCATGTTTTTCAAACGTTTTAAACATTGTTCAACCTGAAGGAAAAAGAGCAACTCAAATCCGTATGCGCACAGTACAGACAGGATCAATGTGTATGACCAGGAAAGCAAAGAGATCCACATTATTAGTATGGAAATATGTCAAATACCACAGAACACTTATCTTTTTAAGGGTAAAGAAATCCAAAGCCCACATAATTATTTCTGGTTACAAATCTGGAATTTATCCAGCCAAACAAACTGTTCAAATTAGGTAAAAACAAAGAAATTACTATATGCCACAACGTGCTTGACGCTGTAAAGGAGATCAAAATGAGCATAAAATTATTCTCAAGACTGTAATTTTGATGAGACAATAGTGAAACTATAAAACAAGACAGTAATTCTTTAACTACTAAATTTCAACAGTCTGTAAGGACCACAGAGCAGAGGTGAAAAAAGTGACTAAATTAGTCACTAAAATGTATACCGAGTACATGCAAGTACCGAGTACTACATGCAAGGCATGCTGGGAGGTAAAATGGTTAATAAGGTATCTTCCAATCTCCAGTTGCTAAAAATCTAATGGTAAAAATAAGGTATACAAAATATTTACTCAAATATGAAAAAACAGACCCTATTTAAAATTTCAATCCCCTCAGCATTCTCCCCTCCTCTGCCTTATTTTTCTTCACAGCACTTATCACCACCTGACCTACCACCACTGACTGATTCATCACCTTTCTCCCTTAACTACAGAAAATGTATATACATGGCACCCTCTGTATAATGTAAGCTCCACAAGGGTATTTGTCCATTTTGCTGACCACTTGAACCCAGTTCTTAGAACGGTGCTGAGTTGGCACTCAATAGTGTTATTAAAAAAAAAAAAAAAAGATAGGAGGCATGCATCACACAAAAAGCAGTATGAATTTTTTCATAGTTAAGAAATACTATACAAAAGCCTTGCATGGGACCACACCCAAACTATGAGGGATATAAAGATCTAGATGGTCGCTGATACGGGCAACAAGAATATCTTGCCAGACCTACGTACACAGTACTAAATGGAGGGAAGAATTTATAAATTCTCTAGGGTCAGCTCCTATCTTTTTCATTTTTAAGTCTGGACACAATCCTTTGAAAGGTATTAACAAGCCAACATGACAAAACATTTGGAAAACATACTAACTTCCAAAAAGAGAAGAAAAAAAAAAAACCCTTGAGAGTATTAGAAAAGAAAGAAGACATGAAACAACACAAGAACAGTCTGCATATACTCAAAGAATTATCACACAGAAAAGGAATCAAGATGATTTTCTGTGCTAATTCTAGAGAAGATAATTCTAGTATCTGGCTTTTGAATACAGAAAAAAAAATACTGAAGTATATGAATGCTTTCTGTAAACTGTGAAATGTTGAACAGATATAAGACAGTAGTAATAGTGGTAATAGCCGCTGTAGCAGCAAGAACATCATGAGACATGTTCCCTCTCTAAGGAATCATAGGGAATGTAAAACAAATCCACAATAAATAACTGTACCACACCAGACATATTAAATGGTACAAGAGAAGTACAAAGAGGGGCTGAAATAGAAAGGAACTCAACTTCACTAATAATCAGAAAAATAAAAAATGTAACTTAAAATGGGATTACCATTATATACACTCATGTTACACTTTGGAAAGAAGATTATCACTATTGGGAAGGCTTGAAACAGTACCTATTATATGAAAAGGCCTCTAATAGGCAGATGTGAAAAGCCTAGGTATCCTGAACCTACAGGATCAGAGGAGCAAAACTTCAGAAGAGGGAACAAACACAGAGAACATGTAATTTTGTTAAGTTCAGACTGACTGGAATATAAGATATCCAAAGGTAATAGAAAAGTCAAGAGTTAACAATACCAAAGAGGCCAGATCATACTAGATCTTGTAAGGCAAGCTAAGGAGTTCAGTCTTTACTCAGTACACAAAGGAGAACCATTAAAATCAAAGTTGTGTTTTAGGATTAACCTGCTTTGGGTATACAGACTATGCAAGGGTGCAGGGAGACTAGAGGGGAAAACATCTGTTAGGACACTATTACAATTTTAAGTTGACAGGATCTAAAAAGAAAATGGCACCCACAACTGAAGAAGAGACCAGATGCAGAGGAGGTTTTGACTTACTGACTAGACGAGAGAACTACATGAAATGAGAAAACAGACACAAGAGAACACCAAATTTCTATGACCTGGGTGATTATTCACAACTGGGAAGGTAGGAGAAGAAACACATTCAGTCTCAGACTAAACGAGTTTGCTTTGGATTAAAAGACAGAAATAAAAGCTGCTGGCCCGTGGCAGTGGCTCACGCCTGTAATCCTAGCACTCTGGGAGGCCGAAGCAGGTGAATTGCCTAAACTCATGAGTTGGAGAATTGCCTGAGCAAGAATGAGACCCCACCTCTAAAAATAGCTAGGTGTTGGAGTGGGCACCTGTACTCCCAGCTACTCAGGAGGCTGAGGCAAAGGGATCTCTTCAGGCTAAGAATTTGAGGTTACTGTGAGCTATGACACCACAGCACTCTACTGAGGGCAATAAGGGGACACTCTGTTTCAAAAGAAAAAAAAAGAAGAAATAATAGCTACCCTCGATAAGAAAACTTAGGGAAAGACCACAATCCCAGGAACTTTCTCTGATGAAGAAATCTTCATCTTTTTTGCAGTAAGTAACAAGGATGGAATATTAACTAGAAAACACTAGGCCATAAGGTTGCAAGATATCTTTTTCACACCTGTTCTATATTTTGAACATAGAAAGTTAAAAAATACTTGCAAGGTGGCTCTGTCACACAATCCACAGTCCACTGGACTTCTAAAAAATATTTGCAGATGCCAAGCACTGTGGCTCACACCCATAATCCTGGCATCTGGGAGGCTGAATCAGGAGGATTGCCTGAGGCCAGAGTTCTGCTAGAGACCAGCCTGAGCTAGAGTGAAACCTCTTCTGTTACAAAAAATAGAAAAATCAGCAGGGAGTAGTGGCAGGTACCTGCAGTCCCAATTATTCAGGAAGCTGAAGGATCAACAGAGCCCAGGAGTTTGAGGTTGCAGTGATCTACGATAACACCACTATACTCTAGCTGGGGTGACAGAGACCCTGTCTCAAAAAAAAAAAAAAAAAAGAAATTGCAGAATAAAGTTAATGAATAAATGAACATACAAAGAAGCCAGCTTAAAAGGCTCTACTCTGTGGTATAGTCCCTGAACTGGAGTGCCCAATTTTGACTTAAGCCCCAAAATTTACCCCAAACCACTTTCTACCACAACTTGCTACTTACTCATGTACTCCAAAATACCACTGATCAGATTATGTACCCCACAACAAATAAGCCACATCTCTGTTCTTTTTATAATTTTAACATTTTTATAAGGCTTAGGATATTGTTTATTAATGTCTAACATTCAGTCTTGATCAAATCACTCTTTGAACTGGGCAAATGATGCCATATAATGATGAAAATTTTTATTTACCCACTAGAACACTACTACGAAAAAATTAAACATACTTATTTTTAACAAAAATTTTTTGAAACGCTTTCAGGAAATACAAAAGAAGCCCACAGTTACATGTGGGCTTTGGACCTATAAATCACAGTAATTTACTGATATTTCTATCAATAACAAAATGCTAAGTGGCAGTCTGATCTACTTTTCCAAGTAAACAGGTTGGGTCTCAAACACAGGGCTTTCTCCTCACCTGTTTGAGAGCCAAATGGGGTTTGTGGCGGCCCATTCTGTTGTGATTGCTGTAGAGGACAGCGCATAAAACATCTGTTTCTGCATCTAAGGTTTGGCTCTTCAGTGACAGTGTGAGAAGGTGGCATTCTTTAATTACAGCTGCAATGCAAAGATCTAGAGCAGAGACATTTAACAAAACTCAGTTTGTATTTCTACATTAAGTATATAACATTCAAAAAAACCCTATAAGAAGCATCTTTCCTTGATTTAAAGGAACTGAAAACAAATTAATGTAATCAGCCTCAACTCTTAAGTACATGATTAAGGATTCTAAGTTGAAAAATGGTTAGGTGATAAAGAGTCCCAGAAATCATTAAGAGAACATCTGTTAAATAAGAGTGTCCATCTTCACATTGCATTTTATCACGGCTTAACAAACCCTTAATATGAATGCTTTACAGTCCCTTAAGACTTTAAGTACCTGAAGATGGGGCACATGTTATCTACTTCTCTAAATCCCCCAGTTTGATATGCACATAAGCAAGACAGAATGAAAAACTCCAGTCTTCAAAGGTTCTGCATTTGGATACTACTTTAAGAAAGACTAGAATATAGTCAGAAAAGAGAAACTACCATGGCAACTGGAAATTATATTATTTGATGAATGCCTAACTGAACCCTGAGTGCTCAGCAGATGTTTCCTCATATTAAAAACTGCTTAGTAGAAGACAGTTATTGTGCTACCTAGGGCTATAAGGGTACTCCGGGTGTAATGCAAAGACAAGTTTCTACACATACAGAATTTTCTTAATGTCCCAACTATCTGAAGCAGAATGAGCTGCTTGAAATGAGTGGGTGAATCTCCCATGCTTAAAAGGAATTCTGTTGAATTCTGAGTAGAGGAAAGGATACCACTAATCTCCAAACTTCATAGGATGGACGGGAAAGGAGATGAGACGACCTAAGTATTACATTTAATATTAACAGCTATCATAGAGTGTTTAATTTACCACACCAGGCAGCGTTCCAAATGCTTTCTCTGTAACATCAACTCTTTTATACTCCTTAATAATCCTATCTGGCAGGTATTACTTTTAATCCCCATTTGAAAATCACTGAAACAAAGAAACGTTCAATAACTCCCCCAAGTTCTAGCAAAGGGAAAGGCTAGGATTCAAATCCAGACAATCTGGTTCCTGAGCCACGCTCCTATCTACTGAGCCCTACTGCCTAATAGCAGCAGTGTCATCCACTGTACCCTGCTGAAACACTCTAGTTTACTGAGCGCTCTCTTCTCAATCACGTCACTAGATCCCCCCACATTGGAGCGAAGGCCGTTAGGAAGGGCTCGCCCCACTTTACAAATAAGGAGTCCATAAAGACTGCAGTTCAGAGTGCTTAGGTGACGTCCTCCGTCCCCCCTGGACAGGAGTCAGCGTGGCCCGAGGGAGTACAAGGTTCCCAGGGTTGCCTGGCTACAGTTGCGTCTGCCCTCCTGGCGCAGGGCTGGGTCTTGGTCCTTCAACACGGGAGCCAGCCCCGCGTTGCACTGCGAGCGTAGAAAAAGAGCGCTACGCAAGAGGTCCTGCCAAGTTCTCGCGCACACTGACAAGCCCCAGAACCCTCTCGGCCCCGTCGCGCCCCGCGCCGGGTCCCAGCGTCCCCAGGGTTCAGGAAGTCCCGCCCCCACCCCACGTGCGCGGACCGGTTTCTGGCCTTGCCCGGGAGCGCCTGTCCCACTCCCCCGGCGCCCCGCTCACCCAGGGCCGCGTCGGCGTTCTTCACTGCCACCACGCTGCGGCTCCCCGCCTTAGGGATCCTCACGCGGTTCCACGGCTCCAGGCCTGGCAGAACCTCAGCCATCTTGCGAAGCGGGAGAGAGCGTAGGAAGGGCAGGGCTGGGCGAGACCGAGTCTAGCGGCCGAAGGAGGGGCGATGATATGCGGGGGCGTGGCGGGGCGTGGCAGGGGCGTGGCCAGCAGCCGGGCGGGAGGAGAGCTGGACAGTAGTAGATCGCGGAGACCTGCGCACAAGTACAGTTCAATGGACCCGGATAGTCGTGGATACCCTGGTTTTCAAAACCCAGAGGCCAGTCAGAATGAACGGGAAGAGTTTTGGAGGAAAAGCCCAATCTCGGTACTGTTTAATCAGAATATCTGAGAATGGGGTGAGGAATTCACATTTTGGTTAAGCTTATCCCTAGGGAATTCGGAGGTACAACCAAATTTGGAACTACCTCGAGGCATTTTACAGCTATGGAAACTGCGGCCCATAATGGAGTTGGCCCCCAGCTCTGCCTCAGACAAAGAGGGAAAAAGAAGATATGAAATTAAGAGGCTTGTGCCAAGGTGTGCAATGTGTAAAGAAGAGTGATTTGATTTGAGTAGTTAAAGAAGGCTTTTTCATACCTTGTACAACAGCAAAACCGAGATCACATCAAAGAAACAAGGAAGTCCTCTGACTATCCATCACTTCCATCCTCCATCAGTGTCGAAGATAATATTCCAAGTTCTGCTGATGCTTACTTCATTAGTACCTAATAGTTCGTGTGATGCCCTTAAAGGATGTTACTTAAAGGAAGGCTGCCACCATAATGGATTGGAGAAGCAGTTAGTGGGTTTTGGAAACAGACTGCCAAGGTTCTGATTCTAACTCTAGCCGTTTACTGGCTCTATGTTCTCAGGAAAGCCCCTTACCTCCTCCACCCCTTAGTGTTTTTATGTGTGAAATGAAGATGATCATAATAGTATCTATGTCACAAGGTTATAATGTGCCTAACAAACAATAAAAATTTACCATAATTATTATTGTTGATATAATTAACTACTATTTAATGCAAGCAGTCTTGCCTTCTTGAAACACTTTCCATGCTCTTTCTGTGTGCTTTTCCACATAATACTTCCTCTACCTGAATCATCTTCTAAAATATAATCTCCTTTCTTCTGCTTTGGGGTCATCTTCTAAAACATAATCTTTCTTCCACTTTGGGTAGTTTTTTCCTGAACACCCCATACTTACTCCATAACTTGTTATACAGACCCCTTTAATGTATTGCCCCAGTACCCTATGTTGATCTATGTGTTAAGTTTCCTATTGCTGCCACAATAAACTACAGGAAATTTAATAGCGTGAGACAAGGTGAAGTTATCTCATATTTCTAGAGGACACAAGTGCAAAATCAGTCTCATTGGACTAAAGTTAGGGCTGGTTGCTTCTAAAGGCTCTAGGGAATAATTTCTTTTCTGGCTTCTAGAGGCTGCCTTCATTCCTTGGCTCATGTCCCCATCCTCCACCTTCAAAGTCAGTAGCATAGAACCTTTCAATCTCACCCCCATCTTTCTCTCACTCTCTTTCCTTCCTCCCTCTTCAAAACACCCTTGGGATTACATTGGGCCCATTAAGATAATCAGGATAATCACTCCACCTCAGAATAATTAACTTAATCACATGTCCAATACAACACAAAATCCCTCTCAATGTAAAGTTAAATATTCATAAATTCTGGAAATTAGGATGTGAACATCTTTGGGGGGGGGGGGCATTGTTCAGCTTACCACAGCCTTGCTTATAGAATTTACCTATGTGTATTGTTATTTATTTGTGTGTATGGGTTTCTGAACTTACTAATGGTGGTACTACTGATATGGCTAACTGTTATTCTATCTCAGTGCTTAGCTCAGAACCTGGCATCTAGTAGGACCTCAATATGTATTTACTGACTGAATAAAAGGTTAGATGATACTTGAGTAAAGTTTTCAAAAGATGAATAGGAACTTTCCAGGCAGTTAAAAGGAGAAGGGTAATCCTGACAGAGAGGTGTTAAACAGCATGGATTGAAAAAATGGCCAGCTCTGGGTCAGTACTGCTTGAATGTAATATGTGCTGAGAGATGAAGCTGTGAGTACTGGCATCAGATCATGAGAAGAATTTGGATTTTCACCTAAAGACAAGTGGTTTCCACACTGGCTTGGTTATCAGAATTACCTGGATAGCTTTTAAAAGTAGAGATTTCCAGGTCCTGCTTTGGAAATTCTTACTCATTAGTTCTGAGTAGGGCTCTAATCGGTGTTTTTTATGAGGTCCTTATGATGGTAGTCTGGCTTAAGATACACTACTGCAATTGATAAAGGAGTCACTCACTGAGTATTAGGCAGGGCAATTTGAGTCATGCTGCATCAGAGGATAAACACTCTAGAGAACAGAACTGAGGGGGAAGAAGTTGGAGATAGACAAGATAGTCTATTATAAAAGCTCAGGCCAGAAATGATGAAAGCCTAAACCTTCAAGCCCTGCAGATAAAGCATATAATACATGGTTGGCCCCTGTGGCTCAAAGGAGTAGGGCGCCAGCCCAATATGCCAGAGGTGGCAGGTTCAAACCCAGCCCTGGCCAAAAACTGCAAAAAAATAAAATAAAAAAGAAGAGTATAATTTATTTGACATCTAGTATACATTGAGGACCCCTTATCCAAAATACTTGAGACCAGAAGTATTTTCGTTTCTGATTCTTTTGATTCTAGAATATTTGCATATATACTTGATATATCTTGGTTTGGGGACCCAAGTTTAAACACAAAATTCATTTATATTTCATATACACCTTCAGAACATAGCCTGAAGGTAATTTTATATAATTTTTTTTTTTTTTTGAGACAGAGTCTCACTTTGCCACCCTGGGTAGAGTGCCCTGGCTTCATAACTCATAGCAACCTCAAACTCCTGGGCTCAAGCAGATGATCCTCCTACCTTAGCCTCTGAGTAACTGGAACTACAGATACCTGCCACAATGTCTGGGTGGGTGGGGGGGTTGTTTTAGTTTTGATTTTTTTCTATCGTTAGTAGAGGTAGGGTCTCGCTCTTGTTCAGGCTGGTCTCGAATTCCTGAGCTCAAGGGATTCTTCTGCCTCAGCTTCCCAGAGTGCTAGGATTATAGATGCAAGCCACCACGACTGGCCTGTATATACTAGTTTTAATAATTTTATGCATGAAGCAAAGTTTGTGTAAATTAAACCATCAGAAAGCAAAGGTGTCACTGGTTCAGCCACCCATGTGGACAGTTTGTGGTTGTTTGACATCATTATCATTCCTGACTCTAAAATTACATGCCATTGATAAGAAATGATTTTCTTTTACTTATTCACATATGAGTACTTAATAGCAGAAAATTGTGTTCACTGTGTTCATTAATACAGTGAAAAACATAATTTGTTCAGGGTAACTTGTCTCGTGTATGAACTCAAAAGTTTCATATTTGGAGCATTTCAGATTTTCAGAATAAGTTGCTCAACCTGTATTTAGATAGCTACATGTCTAGAATGACTTCCTGATTTTCACCCTGAGTTTGAAATATAGGCATTCAGAAGAAAACCAATTTACATAGGTGACAGGGATAATGAGATGACTTTGATATACTAAGTTTGAGTTTGTCCATGGGCTGTCCACAGAAAATATCCAATTCTTCAGTTGAATAAATGGGCCTATAGCTCACAGATGATTGCAAAGGGATTAAGGAGAAATAGTGAATGTAGGATAGTGTTTTTAGAAGCTTAGATGAGAAGGGAAGACAATTTAGTTTATGTGGTGACAGAGAGATGCAGGACCAAGAAGAGTATTGTTCTCTTTTGTGCTCATTTTAAGGATGGTGTGCCAGTCAGAATTCTACCTATTAAACCAAACTAGTGGGATATACAGAGTGTCCATAAAGTTGGTGTGCAACTTTAAATTGCTCACTGTCTTAAATTGCACACGAGCTTTATGAACACCCTGTATAAACAGGATTCTTGAAATTAGTTTGAAATTGTGGGAGCTGGATAACAAAGCCCAGAATCCATAAAGCAGACTGGAAACTCTCAGGCAGGAGCCAACGCTGCAAGCTAAAGGTGGAGTTTCTTTTATGTCTTCAGGGAAGCTAAGTTCTGTTCTTAAGGACTTTCAACTGACTGCACCAGGCTCACCCACACTACCTTCACGTAACGTCAATGATTGTAGGTATTTTATCACATCTACAGACTACCTTCACAGCAACACCTAGATTAATGTTTGATTGATGAACTGGGCACTATGGCCTAAACATGTTGACACAAAAAAACCAACTACCACAAATAGGAAATGGTTTGATCACAAATAGGCTAAGAGGAAGGAGCTATTGAATTAGAGACCATGAGACTGATGGAACAGTGTCTTTGTGCCAATGAGATACCAAATTATAAACAAGATTTAAGGCCATGCCAGGCAAGAGTTAAGTCATGCACACTCTAAACTTCAAGAGTACACTATTTTGGACAGTGCCTGTGGCTCAAGGAGTACAGTGCTGGCCCCATATACCAGAAGCAGTGGGTTCAAACCTGGCCCCGGCCAAAAAACCAAAAAAAAAAAAAAAAAAAAAA